ACTTTAGTAAAGTTTCAGTAATTAGAAGGATTAGACTGAAAGTGTATAAGAGGATAGACGGAGGAACGTACCCCGTAGCTGGAGGTTGTACTCCTTCCTGCTCTCCTCATTACTCAAGATCTTCCAAGCCTGGTCGACATCAATGAATCTCTGCAGGTGCTGCTCCGCCTCCCTTCTGATACGTCCAGCCTCTGCTTGTCCGGGTGAAACTGCCAATCAAAACGCAGAGTGATGAGACTGACAGAAATGATAACCAATGACAGTCACGTCTGATAGAAACTATTACATTTGGACAAAAACTTTTAAGGCCGAGAAATTAAGCCAGATTACAGAAACGGATTGCAAACAATACATGAGTGATACAAAGGTTGAATAATAAAAATGTAAAAATGGTGACAAGTCTTGATGCAAAGTTAATGGGCAATTTGCTGAAGGACTTGCTGTGCTTTTGGACAGTTTACCAGAGAAGGCAGACCATGGGCACTAATATGGACAATGGTTCAAAATATATATGTATATATATATATATATATAATATACCAGTTAGGACAGATATGTCTTTCCAATGACAAGACTGGACAGAGTAGACAGTTAAAAGGGCAAAGGCCGCTTCTTTCCTCCAGCCAAAAACACTAATGTGATCCCACTTTGTGTCCTAAAATATGACAGATCTTACGGTAACATCACAGCTTTGCCAAAATAAAATAAAAATGTACCCAGAAGTCTAATGCAGCCTCCCTTAAGGAAGCTTTAGGGATTTATTGTGACAGTCCCTTCCGGCCTAGATGGATCCTTACAGTAAAGAGTCCTTCTCCTTGAGCAATCTACAGATCTGGGGCTGTGACTATCGATTAGTGGGGGTTGAGGGTCAGCTGAGCCGTGGGGCACTTCATTCGCCCACTGGAGAAGAGCAAGGTTGAAAGGGGCAAACGGAAAACAACTTAGATCCTTTCGAGCAGGCATTCAACCAAACTCTGATTATGCTCTGGCACAGGCGAGCAGAGCATTGCAAGTGTATGTGTTTGTGTATTTGCATGGTCGCTATAGTTCAGAAGCCGCATCGCCGCCAAAGTCGGGTAATGATGCATGGGGTGACACTGGGCTACAATAACCGACAATCTGGGGCAAGCCAATTACTGTCCACAGCGATTATATTTGTAATTTTAAGCAACAGGAAGACTGAATTCAACTAATCATTTCAAGCAATTAAGTTTAAAACTAATTAAAATTTAAGGGTGCCCGTTCTCCGTTGTTTCCCGTTCATCCCCCCCCCTCCTCGCCCCTTTCTCTGTTTGTGTTTTTGTTGTCGTTTTCACTTTGTTAATGGGTGGTCAGAATGCGATGAGAAGAGGAACTGAAAAGCAACTGCAGCAACAAGCCAAAAATTAACTTCCTGATTGAGAGAATCATTAACCATTTCTTGTCATTTTTGCAGTGCGGGTGAAAGAAGACCCACTCTCAGATACAAGAAAGAGGGGCCAATGAACTTTAACTGAAAGATCCTTAAATATGCTGACGTAAATCATTCATTGCGGCCATCCGATTGATGGAAGGCTTTTTGGAGTGCATTCTCTCCAGCACTAGCGCTGTCACATGCCGTCATTACATTCTGAGAAGAATTTCAAGTTGGTGAAATGCAAGGAAAGCATCCTTCTTCACTCAAATCTCAGTTTAATTAAAAGTACCAGAGTAAAAAAAGACATTAAGATTAGGAACGGCACAGGATACCAGCTAAGAGGATTAGATCGATTTGTGTTTAGGATGCTTCAGATCAGAGGATCAGAGAATGACCAAAGCTAAATAGCTAAAGTGAAATCTTGAGGTGTTAACGAAACTTTAAATCAGCGTGGCCATCTAGAATAACACACGAAGCCTACTACATAACGTAATGCTTGAATTTTAATTAATATTCACAACACACAAAGTTACACGTTGGTGGAGGAAAAAAAATGTACATTATGACACCCATAAGGCATTTTGGGATATATTTTAATTTTAGTACACATAATGGCAATGAAGAAAAACACTGACACTAGCTATATGTTTAAATATTAGATTTGTTATTTTTATTTCTGTGGTGTGGCAATTTGAACCATCACCTTTCCCAAAGTAATATCTCCAACAATATATTCTCAGCCAGCACAGAAAAGGAAAAACAGCTCCGGTCCTGAACCCTAAGAATGGCTGAGCAAGCTTGGCAGCACAATTTCTCAGTTACCTCCAGCAGGACGCCAGATTCTGCTAGAGAATTAGACTCTCTCCCCAGTGGCGGAATCGGAGATAGGGTTTTGCTTTCCTCTACTCTTTGTAGGTGAGCTCGAGGAGTCAGGACCACAGGTGTGAAGTGCAGCTTAGCCCTGGCAAGCACATACTGCTGCTCCACAAACATCTCCCTGGGTAATCTTTTGTCAAATAGATAGTCCCTGTGAACTGAGTTTCAGGTCTGTCGTAACAGAGATGAAGATACACTGGGCTGGATTTAAAATGCAAGATATTTAAAAAATTTAAAATGTATGAATATATTTTTAATTGGTCAAAGCTTATGCATCTAAAAAACAAACTTTAAACATTGTACAAAAAAAACATTTTAATTTCTTTTAAAAAATGTCGCTTGTGTTAAGAATGGATCTTTTTTTTTTTCCACACACACATTACGATCCTTCAGAAATCCGTTTAATATGTTGGAGTTGGTACTCGATAAACTTTTCTTATTATAAATGTTGAACAGTTGTGCTGCTTAATATTTTTGTGGAAACCATGATAATTTTTTATTTCTGTAGAAATTTTATTTTATGTATTTACTGTCACATGTGATCGATTGAATGCATCCTTGTTGAAAAAAAAAAAAACAAGTTTATCAAAAATTAAATTATATATTACTGATTCAAAATTTTGAACTGTAGTAAATGTTATATAACTCAAATATATTAAAATATATAAATATATGACTTATGAAATCCAATAAGTTAACATTTGAATGTGAACGCTTACTGTACTGTTTTCCAAAGTCTTCTTAAGATGCATTCTGACTCAATGTTACAAACACTAATGTGGTTACACCACCCATTTACTATAGTGTTACTCTACAATTTCCAGTCAGGTACTTGTCATAAATACATAACACAACGAGAGGCTGGAGCTCTGTTAGAGCAGCCCGTCCTCCTGCCCCTCTGGAGTTACACGCTTTAATTGCTGTCTCTTTGCACGCATTGTAAAATATTCATTTACTGGGGCTAATGGAGCTTGGAGAGCAGGAACACAATATAAAGGGCCGGGCAATTTGGAGCACTCGCCAGCTCTAACAATACATCATCATCTCTCAGAGGCTGCGAAGGGAGCACTGCCACATCCTCCGCTGGGCTCTGGTGTTCTGCCTGCAGCCGCTTTCTGCTTCAATGGAGAGAGGAGAGAGACCGAAGCACAAAGGAAACTACCATCACACTACTGCCACCTACTGTCAGGCTGGACTCAGAATGAGGGAATGAGGCAGGACACTGGGACTACAAACAATAATCCCAAGTAATACAGCAGTATAGATCCTGAATTCTGAATCAGTAAGCTGACTTCTGCCAAACTGTCTGGCTATATTATGAAGAAACCAATACGTGATGGCATTTCCATCACATGATGCTGAGACGTTTGACTTTAACAAGCTAAAAAAAACGGAACTATTATTAATTTCATTACCAATCAATCTCCTGCTGTATATTGCGTAAGGCATTGGAATGGAGTCTTCAAACTGCTTCTACAAATTGCACGCCACACATCCTGATTTATCGACTGGTGTTATGAGATTGCTGTAATTAAAATGGGTTTGGGATTAAACAAATCAGCTTAAGTATAACTTGACTGGGATAAATCAACCTGCAATGTGTATTAATGAGAAATACTTATGCCATTGATTAATTGTGCATATATTTTCAAAGCTTGTATTTAGCAAGAACAATTTGCCCTAGGAGGAAACTTTGAAGGGAGAATCAAGCATAATCTTTATCTCGGAATGAATTTTATCAGTTGACATGCACTGCATAACATCTCTTTGACTCCAAGGCCTACTGTTTTACAATACAATATTCAAAACTTAAGAGTATCAGTGATAAAAATTAAATTAAAAACCTGTCGTGAATAGTGTGTGTGTGTGTGTGTGTGCATACATGCATGCATTCATATGGTAACACTTTAGTTTAAGCTCCAATTCTCACTGTTAACTAGTTGCTTATTAGCATGCATAGAACTAGGACATTGGTTGTTTATTCCCTGGTGACAAAAAAAACAAATGCTAAGTATACTTGCAACCAGAGTGTGTTAATGATTAGTTTACTTGAAGTGTGCTATTTGTAACTAATTTTGTACCAAGTATATTTTAGTTGTTGTAATTAACTTGTAGTAAAGTCTAACTAAATGCATTTAGTGTACTACCCTGGACCAACTTCACTTAGTGTGCTTTAAGTATATGCCTGTGAAGGGACTAATTACATGCATGTATGTATGTATATATATATATATATATACATGCATGTATGTATGTATATATATATATATATATGCCCATATATATGCCCATGAGGCTATCGGCATTTCCAGCACATAGTTAAAATATCATAAAATATATTTTTGAAAGTGCAAATAAATACACTTTTAAAAAATAAACAGAATTTTCACTTCAAGCATATTTTAAGAAAATATATTTTTTTAGAAAATATCCAAAAGTACAATTATTTTAAAAGTGTGTTAAAAGAGAAAATAGGTAAAAGCATGATGCTAATATACTTAAATAATTCCCCGTTTGAGAACCACTGATATATGGGAACATTTGCTGAGTACCTACCTTGAGGATGAGCTTCTGATACTTCTGTTTCAGCTCTTGCATGTCATCTGTTGGACAGGCACCCAGTATTGAGTACCAGTCTTTATGTAGACCACAGGATTCTGCCATAATTCTGCAGAATACAAACAAAAATACAGAGGAAAGTATGAATTGTTTGCACCAAACAACTTGCAAGTGCAGGACGATTATTTGAAATGTAATTTATAGCATGTATACATTCACATTGACCTTGTTAATTTTTAAAAGCAATGATTAATTCATAGTAAACAGTTAAGACAATCTGTCTTCAGCAGTCAGTTGGCAGGATGTACTGTACAGCACGTGAAAAAGCATAAAAAACTATACAAAGTAAAAAAAACATATTACATTGTAGAATGATATGGTATAAGAGAACTGTCTCGCTTCCTACCCGAATATGAAGGCGTTTTCACCGCTTCTATGCAGCTGTCGTCAGCGTTGGCCTTTCCAGTCCATGCTGCTTCCTCCAGTGTGAGGGTTTGCCTCGCTCTTTAACGCACTGACAGAAACACGTATGCTTTGATCAAATCATATTTTAATCTGAAGGAATTTTGAACTAGCCAAATTGTGTAACATCACAAATAATAAGCACTTATGTTTGAGGAGTTCCGCCGTCTTCGAGAGCAGTGAAATGCTCAAAAATAGACATTAAATTGTTCGACTACAAACTAACGTTTCTACACGGATGTATTAGAGAGCAACACGAGAGCGGGTGCGCTGCTGCTTCTATGGAAACGATGATGGAAACTGAGCAAGAGCATAGGCTAGCCGCTAGACAGTAAAAAAAACAGAGAGGTGGCCTTAGTTTACAGTTACTTAGCCACAGTTACAGCTTGCGACAGTTACTAGAGAATGTCGAATGGGCTCTGCTAACATTCAGAATTTATTTAAATTAGACACTTTTTACTTTTTAGTCGGAAAAAAGATAATGAATCACAAAAATGTATTCTAGAATGGGTCCTGATCACAATTATATTGGGTTTATAACAAGTATCAGACATATTCATTGATTGGTATGTTTTTAGGGGTGGAAACAGATGACTGGACATGCAGACAGAAATATTGAAATTCAGAAAATATTTGTGGTAACGTTTGATAAAGTGCCATTATCCATTTTAATGGATACTTGATTTACCTGCAAAATCTTGAAGCACATCTATTGTTCAAATGCAGATACAAATACAAATACTGAGCTAAAAGAAAATAAAAAAGGAAATTAAAGGAAAGGAAACATATTATAATGGGAAGCCATAAAATATTGATATTTTGCTTTGACAAAATTACAAAACAAAAAAAAACACTTCTATATATATATATATATATATATATATATATATATGTGTGTGTGTGTGTGTGTGTGTGATTGTGACAAGGGTTGTGAGAAAAGTTGGTGGATATTTGTTAATTGTGTTGGGAATTACCTAAAATATCATGTATGTCATAGGCTAGTCTACAGAGGGCAGAAAAAGAAAGAAGAAAAAAAATCACAATGTGCACACCTCAGCCACCGTCTCCAGCTGCTAATTAACAAAGTATTTAATGAGCACTGTGAAAGATGCTACATGTAACAGAGAAAACAGATTGTTTGTCAAGCCATGTTTACTCAGTTTAGGTTTATTATGAAGCAATTAATAATTTCATGATGAAATTTACAGATTTTTTTGTTTGACATTTCAGATGTATAAGGCACAACAACAGATGTTTGTTTTCCTGTTTTACTGATGCATGTAATTCGTTTGTGTAATTCTACTTCAAGGGCAGGAAGAGTTGTGCTGTTGTAGTATCTTAAAAGTTGTCGAGAAAATACTACACTTTATTATAGAATGCTTTTCATTAGGTTGCATTAATTTTTGCTTCCCATTATATAAAGGCTATTTTTATATATTCAATATACGGAGGATGTCACTTATATTAAAAATTATAAATATATTTTATTTGTTAAACACTGTTGCTAATACTTCCTGGCTGCTGTTGTTTACAGACTCAGTAGGTGTTAACGAGAAAAGATTTTGACTGGCGTACATCTAACAACACCCAAATATCACTTTAATTACTGGAACTGAAAAGAAAACAAAGCAAACAGAACAAACTTTAGCATGACATTGTGCAACTGTTCTAACGTATAATTATTTGTGCCAATTACTGATTTAGAAGTTGGGAAGAATTAAACAAAGTAATTAGCAAATGGCATTCTGATTAGTTTCAGCCTTGTTCTTGTGTATTGCGTGTGATGCATAAATCCATGAAGCACTCAATGATCAAACGAGCAAACGCATCTTTTTGAGATCTGAAGGTCATTCATAAATTAAACCTAATTATTATTGGTTTAAAAAGGAAGTTCTACATGAACTTCTATAGAAAAAAATACATATAATTGGGGGTAACGCATTAAAAGTAATTTGAGCTATGTAATCAGATTACTTTTTTCAAGAACAAACAAAATATCATTTTTCAAATATGTAACACAAGTTACTTTGTTTTCCCATATTGACTGTTAAAATTATGGTTATTGTTTTTCTAGACTAAATGTGAGCATTAACTCATCTCAATCGCATAAAAACAGATTCAGTATTCCTCAAAATGGAAACTCACAAAAACCTGTTATTAAAAAACAAACAAGTGATCCCAGCCCAGGTGAGGAAATGTAACGCAAAAGTAACGTAATACATTGCTTTCCATAAAAAGTAACTAAGTAACACAATTAGTTACTTTTTAGTAAAGAACGCAATGCATAATTTTTAAAAGTAACTTTCCCAGGTCCTAGATGATGCTAACTGGTAATACAGACTTCACCTACTTTAGAAGTCTAAAATTGTGGTTGAGCTTCATGCTAGAGGAGATCAGTTTTGAATGGTTCATATTTTGCAAGCCATGAAATGAAATAGATAAATATTTTCAGCCAGTTGATGTTGAAGCCAGAGAGTATGAGTGATCAGTTTGTTCACTGACCCAGAGTTGAATTTCACCCTGAAATTTGGCTCTAGGAAACTGGCTGTTCCTGCTGTGTTCATAACTCTAGAGATTTATTCTTTAAAACTGTGGGCCAAAGAAGCTGTAGGTTACCTCGAAAAGTTGTTAAATGCTCAAAATAAAGAGCATTTTGGTTTATGGGAAAATTGGAAAAAAGGGCTTTCCAGCATGCATTACTTTCAAAATCTTTTTAAAAAGTAAAGGTTCTTTATTGGCTTTGATGGTTGACGAATCTTTAATGGAAACTTTCCATTGCAAAAAAGGGTTTCTATAGTGTTCTTCATAGTCTTATAGTGTATTAAAATGTTCTTTACACGCAGAAAAAAAATTGTTCTTTTAAGAACTGTTCACTTAAATGTTTTCCTTGCAAATATTCCTCCCTGGCCAGCGTTTATTAAAAAAGTTGCCAGCCAGTGCTGTTTTCACAAAACTTTCATGGACCCCATATTTCATTGTAGCCTCTGTCTTTACCAAAAAATTAAAACTGTACACAGAACGTTTCCTAATGGTTATTTTTGTTATTATTTTGCAACCATAAAATACTGTTCCCAGAACATTGCAGCCAGGGTATTGAAAATGAAAACTAATTAAATTCAATGAATGTAAAATTAATCAATACTGAGTGGTTTAGATCACTTTATATGATGAACAGATTGAATTTAGGCTTTAATTCATATATAAACATTCATCATTCATCTCACACATCAGTTGTGGTAAACGGAAGCTCATGTTCGCTTGATGTGCAAGAACCAATGAGGTTCATTCTCGTGTTACTGTATGAAGCACGTTTGAGCTTCAACAAGAACCAATGAGGTTCATTCTCGTGCTACGCAGCATGTTGAAAAACTCAACAGTTTTTCAGCATCCTCATTCTTTACTTGTTCCTAATACTTAGTTGCATAGCTGCCAATGGAGGGACAGAAATCTCTCAGATTTCATTAAACAAAAATCTTCATTTGTGTTCTGAAGATGAACGAAAGTCTTATGGGGTTGGAACGACATGAGGGTGAGTTAAATTATCAACTATCTCTTCAAGAGTGTAAGGACTAAACATGAAGAAGTCATTAGTTGCAGATCAATGTGACCCTCATGCACACTTTGAACATATTCATCTCTACCAGAGAGTGCGTGGGTAGCTGCACTCTTGCAATGCCAAGACCCTTATTAAATTAGATGAAAACAATCTTTTGTTTGTAATAACCGTTAAAGGTGGAGTTTACACCATTGACCCATTGAGGTCAAACAGTTTTAAAGACAAGGGTACAAGGAATGTACTGAATATGCCATTACTCTGTCAACAGTATTATCAGAAATGAACTAATTTGACATTCAAACCAAGTTTAATATTGTTAACGATAAAAGCTAAACGATAAAAGATTGTTAACGACTTATAAAGCGAAAACCAACCATTTTCATTTCTTATATCTTATTTCTATATAGATATATATATATACTGTATATACTGTATATATATACAGTATATATATATATATATATTAGCATAATAGCCTCAATTGCATATCAGCAGTAGCTCCATTGAAAAAAAAAAGGTGTTTTCGGGGAGTTGTCTGCATCTCCGAATTCCTTGTGAACCCCTTTGAACACCTATATACGGGTACCATTTTTCTGCTACAAAAAAGTTTACAGTAAAACCTTTTATTTACTTCAACTGTGACACACAAAGCAGATCATATCAGCAGTTCAAGGCTTAGGATCCTCATCTGGTCATTAGGATGAAAATTATCCCCATGTTTGTTTGCAAAGCACTCCAGTGGCTATCAGGGAAGTATTTGAATTCCGTGTGTGTGTGTGTATGTGTGCTTGTACTCATCATTTCCATAGGTGAGGCTCTGCGCTGCCCCCTGAAGGGTGCATTGAAACACCCTTTCTTCTCCATGAGTACCAACCACTTGTAATTCAAGTAGAGCGGGCAGCTTTGTCCCTCGGTTCACCGATTGTTCCCGGTCGACACGGATGCCCCCTAAATCAGTCTGAACGGAGCGCCCCCACCAACACAAGGGCAGAGACGTGAGAAGGGAAAAGAAGATCCAGGAGAAGAAAGGGAAATACAGTCTCTATGTCTTGGCCATGACATCCTGGTAGGAGAGAGGTATTCAAGGCCTTGAATGGCTGCCAAGCTTTAGGGTTGCCGTCTCAGTCTACATGGGGGGCCCTTTGGTTCATTCTGGCTGTTAACTCAAACACGGTTTACTTTCAGGGAGGGAAGTGGTCCCGGATAATGAATGTTGTTGTGGATGCGTGTCGCACCTGAGATGACACGGAGGTACCGCGGCGGAACGCAGCGCTGAAAGGGGTTCAAGTGAATGATGACGGATTAAAGAGTTATATCTCAGCACGACACGCACTGTACTCACAAGGCCTCGCCGGTTAATGCAAATCTACCACAATGGCATCCCCCGCGAAAGGGGCTTTGACCGACAGTAGTTTGGCAGGGAGCCACAAGCGAGGCAGCACCCCTGCCAACCGTCATTATCCTTGAGGTGAATTCCCCACCAGTGGGCCGCCCAACCGACCCAATGCTCTGTGCTCTCCTGGAGGAGGTAAGCTCCGTCCAGAAGCACTCAGCGCTCGTATTTGTTTTTCAATGGGAATGCCGACCACATG